GTGGGGGGCGGGGGGAGGCATTCAGGGACTGGACAGCCCTGTAGGCCCTGCTCCTACTCACTCTGTGACTTGAAACCAGTCACTTCAACTCTGTGAGCCTCAGATCCTGCATCTGCCCAGGTAGGTAAGTCTACCTCACAGGCCTTTGGTGAGACTAAGAGAGATACCAGATGGACAAGTACTTTGAAGGCGCAGCACTATAAAAAGAAAGGTGGCATGATCACTCTCCTGAGAGTCAGGGCTGTCATTACTCTGCACATGTTGGTACAGCTACTGCTGAACATCGGAGTGTGACAGGCCTGACACCTCATTCCTGAAGACATGTAAAGGTGTGATTTACCTCCGAATGTGGGAATATTCTTTGCTTTTATTTTTGCAATAGTAGACTGGATAACATAGAGGGTTTAGTTATTGTCTCATTTCCAGCATGTCTTATTTATGCAAATACGATGATGACAACCTGAATTTAGGCTCCAGATGAGCCAGAGGTTAATTATCCACAGGACAAAGGGGCCATTGTTTTAGCAAATTGTTACCTGGTGGCTTGTTTTCAGTTATTTATATATAGTTATTCAGAAACATTTGCTAGGTAAAGTCAAGGCTGTTTACATAATATTGTGCTTTTGCCCTGGCCAGTTGGCTCAATTGGTTGGAGCATCTTCCCATACACCAAAAGGATATGGGTTCGTTTCCCAGTCAGGGCACATACCTAGGTTGCAGGGTCGATCTCCGGTCAAGGTGTGTATGGGAGGCAAGTGATGGATATTTCTCTCTCACATCGATGTTTCTCTCTCTCTCTCCCTCTAAAATCAATAAAATAATAATAATGTGATTTTTCAAATTCAATACAATATTACAATGAAGAGCAAAATGGGTGGTCTTTTCCAGTGATCTAGTATGGTGTGGTATTATTTTAGGACAGTCATCCCTTGCCTATTCCAGGATTCATTATTGCACTTTGGTCTCAGCCAGGTCTCTTTTTCTTCAGCTTTTTTGTATGTCATGCTTGTTAACCCCTTTCCCAAAGTTCTGGGCATGTGTCTGAAGAAGAGATAGAGTTAAATCTGATGGGTTTGCCATTTATTTTCTTCTCTGACCAATGCTTTGATGAGGGGAGATTTTGAAAGGTTAATGAAGTGAGCATTTTCAACATTTAATCAGGCTCTGAGGGTCAGCGTTTCTGGCCTCAGTATGCAGAGCTAATTAATTTGGGATGTAGCTATAGTTACAGTGTGGCTGAGTTCATCCTCCGGAACATGAGTTGCCAGTATATTAATTTTTATTTTCTATAGATAGAATATTATATATACTACAATGATATCCTTCTGCTTATTTCCCACTTACTGTTTTCTTCAAAAATAGCACACATAGCTCTGGAAGCCTTTATTGTTATAGTTAGCAGGAGGAGAAAGAGAATTAGTCCATATTCTAAGGGATAAATATACATTTATAAAATTGGAATTTGCGATAAATTGATACACGTCTTCTGAAACCTTCTGATTAGTCCTATGATTACCCTGAATGCATTCAAATTAAAAAAATTTGTTTTTTCATGAAAGTGATAGGGAATAGGAGGTAAGAAAATGACATTTCAGTTCCAAGGGATAAGTGCATCAGCATTCCACAGGAGAAGGGGAGAAGTGTGGGAAGAGGGGTGAGTTCCAGACCCTACCCTTTAACCCACGTGGAAGTGATTATAACAAATCCAGCTCACATTTTTTTTTGTTGTTGTTTAAAATATATCTTTATTGATTTCAGAGAGAGGAAGGGAGAGGGAGAGAGAGAGAGAAACATCAATGATGAGAGAGTCACTGATCGGCTGCCTCCTGCACATCCCCCACTGGGGATCAAGCCACAACCTAGACATGTGCCCTGACCAGGAATCAAACCTCAATCTTCTGGATCATAGGTCAATGCTCAACCACTGAACCACACTAGCCAGGCCAGCTCACATTTGTGTGTGTCACTTTTA